AAAACTTTAATTTAGATACAAATTCAAAATCTTCCAACATATTAGTACCAATGCTTAAGTTTCTTTCGACACATATGCCTTGCAACAATGTAAGCTCATATCTCAGAATGTAACTTTGAAAGTAATCAAGAGCTAAAAAAAATCTGCCATACAGCTTAGGCTTGACGTGTTCTTACAAGCTGTAGTAACTTATAATAGTTATTGTGGTAACAAATTAAGATAATGGATGCAGCGTACAAATAATTAACACCTTCGTAGATTGCTCCTAGAAACTATTTTCTAGGACATTTAGCGTAATTAAACACACAAATAATATATAATGCTGACACTCATTCAAACAACTGGTGTTCTGAAAGTTATTCTATTATTAACTGGAAATAAATGAAGAGTATTTGAATCGCGCGTTGGGCATAGCATTGATTATTTTTTATAAACCAATGTTTGTCTTTCTTCTTTTTTTTTTTTTTTTTTTTTTTTTTTTTTTTTTTTTTTGTTTGCCACCCGAGGTATTTGATTGAGTTCTTAAAATGAAGCATTTTCTGATGGTTGTTTTTATCTGCTATATTTATAAAAGCTTATTCTGTTAGTGATCATGGAAGACAATCATTATCTGCTGCTCTATTGAGTTTGTCTTTTTATAATTTGTAAAGTGGATTCGCCTTAACAGGCGCACTTTTCCAAATGTATGGCGCTTTCATAAAATCTTATGTTTATTTTAAAAATAATGCAGCAGTGCGCCAAATGCAGTTACACATTTTAATATATATATATACATAATGCGATCAGATTTTATGTTTTTAAAAATGTAAAACCGCGAACACAGAACACATATCTGATTGCTTAATATTGGTATAAGTAGTTCTCACTTCAGTCGAAAATATTGCTCAAATTAGAGTTTCCGGAACAAAAATAGTTCAAATAGCTGGAAATACAGTATATTTTTTATGATACGTTTCTTTCCTTTTTTTTTCATAATAGTCACTTCAGCTGTAAATACAGCAATAAACTGAAACATTCAATCAAACAACCGGCACAAAAAATATTGTCACACCAACATTTTTATAATGTGCAAATAATTTACAGTACATTTTTTCCTTATTTTTCGCTTTTACAACTTACTGCTCGGGACGTCTTTTTATAACCTCCTCAACAGATGTCAAAAAAACCAAAAAAAAAAAGAAGTCCGGATACCAGTGATTTATAACGTGTTTAATACTTTTTATCAATGTGAAAATTATTCGATACACAAATTTCCATATATGTCGGGTTAACGAGTACATCTTTGATCGTTGAATTGAGCTAAAACTTTGTATATATCCTTCTTACAACATCAAAAATATGAGGTTAAAGTTTCAAATTATTTGAATAAAAACTCTGGGATACATAGCAAAATATCGAAATCTACTCGCTGTATATAGAAGGTATACAGATAACCATATATGTCGAGTAAAATTTCACCCCCTGAAATTAAGCTCATATTAAGTACCGTTGCGTATCATGATGTTAACATATTGTGGTTTCAATTTCAGTTGATTTATATAAGAATTGATTGTTTTATTTCAATTTTTTGTTTTTTTATAAAAATTACTCGACATAGATGGAAGGTATACAATGCCCAAATATGTTTTGTATCCCCCCAGAAGGTATCACAACTCTAAATAAGGCGATTTTCCAAGCAGGGAGGCTGACCACAACTTATTAAATGTTAAATCCATCAGTGCCTGATAAATTAGGCTATGATGTAGTTTAAAAGAAACAAATCCAACATGACCTACAAATCCAAGTTTAAAAGAAACAAATGCAACATGACCTGATAAATTATTGAAGAAGAATGCTAGATAAAATACATTAAAACACATAAATATGGGGTGGGGGATGCCAGTTTTTTTTTATATATTATTTTCTTTTATACGAACAAACACAAACAAAACTCATGATGAACCAAGACTTTGATATTAACGCAATTGATGATTTCATTGACCTTCCTGAGAGCCCTCCTGCTTCTACAGCAGCGCCGCCACCTGTGGCACCATTGTTTACAAGTCTGGCAGACGTGGAGCGTCATATGCGGGGTGTGATCAATGCTATTGATGGCCTGTATGGGGAGGATGGTTTGGCCGTAGTGGCAAACGTTCTTGAACAAGCTCGTGCCCAATATGTACCCCACCGACTTCAAGCTGCAGTGGACCGCATTAAGGCTGAAAAAGAAGGCATGCCCGCAGCAGCAAACACGGTCGGTCAAACGGTGGAAGAGGTGGTTGCTTCGTTGGCTGGTTGGTATCGTCTTTGTGTTGCGGCCCCAAAGCCCCATAAGTACTTGTACTGGGTGGAGCTTTTAACGATGGTAAAAAGCGACCAGGTGAATTGGTTGCCTTGGGGGTCCTTGTTGGTGACGATGTTAGGATGGAAAAGATCGAAATACTTCCGGATTATGAGAGCTTTACGTCGCCTGGATTGGATGGTGGAGCTTGTGGGCCTGTCCGGTGCTCGACTTATGATTGAGAAGGTGCCGTTTGATTTTGTGGAGGGATCTGCAAACCGCGACTGGGAGGAGTGGACGGCGGTGATTCGTACGGACGAGGATATTGAATTCATGAAGACGGTGGATTGTTAGCTTTTTTTTTTAATTTCTTTAAAATAAATACCTTATACTTCTATCATAAAAAAAAGGATCTTAAAACAAAAAAGGTCATCAAAAAAAAAGGAACTCATTTATCATAGTGGAGTTACGCTGGTCATAAAAAAAAAATAGTGTGTGTATTTAAAAAAATATTATTTTATTGCAAAACGGAACGCAAGGGGGTGCTTGAGTATATATGAAAAAAAAAAGAGAAAAGAGAACAGAACGCAAGGGGGTGCTTGAGTATAAAGGAAAAAAAAAGTCATTGCATGTCGTCATCTTGTGGCGTGGTGGTAGGTGGTGATGGGATGACTAAGGCAGATGCATCCATGTTGACATTCAAGTTCACAGGTGGGTAGGTTCCCAGAACAACCTCTTTCGCTGTGCTTGTTCTTGTTCCAGGGCGCAAACTACTTCTGGTTTCAATGGTGGCATCTTGAATGGTGACGGGAGGTGCCATCGCCCCGGGTCCTTGGATAATATTATCTGTGTAGAGCTTCTCATGGAGTTTGATTAATTTCTCCGCGAAGGCAACCTTGTCACCACGGGAGCTATGAATATCTTCCCAATTTTGAAGACAGTAAAGGTGAATTAAAAATTCAAGCTTGGGTGAGGAGGGGGAGGCTTGGTCATTCACTTCCATTGCATCGGTAGGTGTCGTGCTGCGATCGACTACGACCGGACGTATCAAAGAAGGGCTTACTCGGATGCTCAGCATGGCACGGGTAGACGTTTGGGATATGTAGGCCGAAGCCGAAAAGACATCTGCGACGTGATGATAACTTCCAGCCAGCATGTTTTTTACCATGTAATGAATGACTTGGAGCGAGTTCGTGTAAATGGTATAATTTATACCAGCCATCGATAAGCGACAAGAGGCACTAACACGGGTACCATCCACCTTTAGAGTACAGTTATCATATACACGAGAAAGTGGAGCGTTTAGTTCCATTTGTTCAAGTGGTGGATGCGAGAAAGTAGTAAAAAAAAAAAAAACTGAAAGTGGTAAAAAAAAAGATAAAGAGATAAAGTGGTCAAAAAAAAGGAAAGAGAAAGTGGTTAGAAAGTGGTTAAAAAAAAAGAGAAAGTAGTAGAAAAGAATAGAGATGTCTTGTTACTTGAGAGAGAGAGAGATAGAAAGATAGAGTAGTAAAAAAGTGAAAAGTAGTAGAAAAGTAGTATAAAAGTAGTATAAAACGGAAAGAGAAGAAAAAAAAAAGAAATGAGAAAAGGGGGCGTGGGGGATGGGGTTGACTTTTATAGTCAAATCAAATCCCATGAGTCCTGCGTGAGCCCCATAGGACTTTAGGATTTTAAGTCCATGAGTCCTATAGGACTATAGGACTTGTGACCGGCGGCTAGCCACGCTCAGTTTTGTTTTTTCTGAAGTCGTTGTTAAGCAACGTGTGATAAAAATGCTTGTTAATCAGTGGCCCATAGGAATGGCGTAGGACTATAGGACTTGTGACCGGTTCTACAGGGAGGGTCAGACACGCTAGGGATCACTCAGTTTTGTTTTTTTGGCGTGTTAATCAGTGCCGTGATGGGAACGCTTGTTAATCAGTGCGGTGATGGGAACGCTTGTTAATCAGTGCCGTGATGGGAACGCTTGTTAATCAGTGCCGTGATGGGAACGCTGGTTAATCAGTGCGGCGATGGGAACGCTTGTTAATCAGTGCGCTGATGGGAAGGCTTGTTAATCAGTGATGATGGGAACGCTTGTTAATCAAATTGGGTCATCCTGTTATAAAAGCGATGTTTTTTTTCGGTTTTTTTTTTCTTCATTACCTTATTAGCAATACCACACACACACACACACACACAATTACTATGGATCGCGAATTTAATGACCGCTTAAACGAACTCCATGAAGTTATGACTAATTTCATCCGTGGTAAAGCTGGATAGGGTTGTGGGGGGAAGGGGATAAGAAGGGTGTGTGAGTTACTGACAATCTTTTTTTTTTGGGGGGTGGCTGTAGATTATGCCGCACAGGCACCGTACTGCTATTACTGGTGTCTTAGTCGATAGTGACTTTTTCTTTTCTGGATTACAGCCATTGCCCGTAAATCAAGGTTTCCTCTGTATGAGCTACAATCGTTGGAGAGCTCAAATGAGCCACGTAGCTCTGCCCGTGCGATTTGGTAAGAATCGACAGCCCAAAAAATAAATGGGGTAATATGGAACTAACAGGAAATTGATTTAGTGGAGGTGTTAGAGGATGAGGAACTTTTGGGGACTCCCCCTCCACCTGCAGCTCCTCCTGTGGCGGCAGCTCCTCCTGTGGCGCCGCCCGCTGCTCCTCCTGTTGCCGTGGTTCCTCCTGTTGTCGTCGCTGCTCCTGTCGAGGCTCTTCCCTTGGTACTCCCTGTGGCTTTCCCTGTGCCTCCTCCTGTCGCTCCTGAGGCCATTCGCCCTGCCTTTGTGGGTGAGGTGCCCCGTTTGCCTTTGCCCCCTCACCACTACTTTGCACGTCAGTACGAAGGTAAGTTTGTCACCATGGTAATGGTATATTGGAAAAAAAAAGTAACATGAATCTCATGTCCGTTTCTCTACCGCTAGTTGCAAACCGTTATCGTCGCTACCCTGGTGTTCTTGCGCAGGCCGTTGATAACACTACTGAGTCCATGGGAATGCCGATCGCCCTCGTGGCCAGAGGCCAATTACAGCTCCAATCGGTGGTGAGTGAATATATATTTTTGCAAGGAAATGTCACGGCATCCCAGGTGCGTAACCTTCTGCTGGCGTTGATCCTCTACTTGACGAACGACAATGTGCGCAATGTACGTCAGCTTGCTCGTAAGTCGTTTGTGTCAAAGATGTTTTTAAAATTAATCCCACGTTTAACGTATCCTTTACCATGTGTAGTGTTGCACTCCAACAACCCCACTCGGGTGGAACTGGAAGCTGTCCGTCGGGCTTTGAAACTTGGGGCATTTCTTCGTCCTTTGGCCGAGGAGGCTGGCATGACCGCGTTGTTGTTGGTAGACTTGTTGCCACCGGCAAAATTAAGTAGAGCCCCTGCGGCTCTGTTAGCAGAGTATGGAGCATACTTGGACACGCTGAACTTAGCACAGTTGTTTAGAGAGGCAAGGTTGCCTGTCGTGCCTGCCTTTGGGGCACAGGAACTGTGGGCGTACTACGTACGATTTTTTTAAATTTTTTTTTAAAAATAAAGCTTTTTTTTTCCTTATGAAACAACCTGACAATGGGTGAGAGGGTGAGTGCGTGAGTGAGTGAGAATGCGTGAGAATGAGAGAGTGAGAGAGTGAGAATGTGAGAGCGAGAGAGTGGGAATGTGAGAGCGTGACATTGAGAGTGAGAATATGAGAGAGTGACATTGAGAGAGTGAGAGAGTAAGTGAGTGACAATGCGTGACAGCATGACAATGCAAGAGAGAGTGGTGGTGGACGAGTGACAATGTGTGAGAGCGTGACCAATGCGTGCGTGGTGGACGAGTGACAATGTGTGAGAGTGTGACAAATGCGTCCGTCAGTGCCATTGCAAAAGATCTTGACATCAGAAAGATCTTCGAATATGTTTACCAAGAAAGATCTTGGGACACTTTGACAGGACTTACGTTTGTCCCTTAGCGACAACTAGGTGCACTACATGCACTAGGAATGGGAATTGTACATGACTAGGTACACTACATGGTGTGGTTAGGAGAGTGTGCGTCAAAGGGGGGGGGGGGACGGGGGGTTCACCCCCCCAGCCGGTGGGGGTTTGCGAGGGGGGGAACGCCCCCCGCGCCACGGTTATTTATTAGTAACTAATATGTCTGTCGGAGTAATCTGAGTATTAAATGTCCGACCCGGAATCCTACGACCCTCATAGGAATCCGGCCCGGACTCCTATCCAGCCCGGACCGGAATCCTATGAGAGTCATAGGACGGCCAATCAAATTTCACGCAGAGTTCTATGAATCTCATAGGAGTCGAGTCCTATAATTTTCATAGGACTGAGATTCCTATGAAATTCATAGGAATTGCTTTCAAAGCCCGATTCCTATGACTTTCATAGGACTGGGGGAGGAGGCAGGATTTCAATGACAGATGATCATCGACCATCACCTTAAGTCGAAAAGAACTGACAAAACTATTAAAATTTATTGAACTGAAAACACTGGAAGGGGGGTAGTTTAAGTAAAATTTACACTGACAATATTAATGAATTTCAATGCTATTCTCATCACATTCAGTTCAATGCGTTAACTTATTTAAACAGACAGAATTTATTGTATTCAGTTCATAGATTTCAACGTATTTTTAATATTATTCAAATCATTTATTCATTCAAATTTTTTTGGGGTAAAATGATACTTTTTTATTATTATTATTTTTGTCGAAATACTTTATTCAAATCACAATGATGAACAACAAAGCTGAATTTACTCAGTACCTTAAATACTATTTAGCACTAAGATTCCTACTATACATTATGCTTACCTTCTTAATTCTGGTTTTTCCAAAAAAAAAACTAATTGTCATTACCCGTACTCTCCTGTATAAAACATATTATTAAAAGATACATTAACTAAATCAATATTTGCTTAATACCTGTTGTTGCTCTTGTTGATCATTCTCTTGCTCTTCAGTTTCTGTTGATGAGCTACATAATTACAATGCATTAATTACGTATTTAAAACATGTATTAGGACATTATACCTCATGTATTTCTCCTTGTTCTGGTAACACCTTTTAACTAGATATAACGCGACCCAATCCTCTTCGCAAAGTGATAAATCCACGTCCATTTCTAATACTCTTGCGTTTAGAATATCAATGATCTCTCGACGATAACATGGTAAAACTTGACTCCACGACGGAGGATGGTTTTTGTAAGTAACGCTTATGAGTGACTTCACCCTATAATATGCACAGCTTCTTATGGTTTCATAAATATGAGCAGTATCTTGTACGTCCGGGTTCAGTAGGGATAGAGCTTGCAATATGTCACGTTTTAACAATTTACGTTTTTTCAACTTTCCATCTGGCCCTGTCACTGTTGGTACTGGTATTTTACTTCGGCTTTCCCTTGCTGTCGCATTACTGGTTAAGTTGTCAGTTTCATGATTACTAGTCATCTGTTTTTGCATGGCTTCCAATCCATTTGTGTTTTGGCGCAACATCTCCTGAATCTGACAAAAATCTTGTTGCAAAGCGATTACCATCTCATTATTCTTGACCAATATGTTTTCCAACGAGCTTATCTTTTCTAAGACTTCCGAATCTTTGGATTTTTTGGGTGGCATCTCTTTTTTTTTTGGAACACGAAATAAGAGGTTTTATAAATCAAACAAAAAAAATTTTTTTTAACCTAATGTGACTGCTAAATCTTGTTGGCGGATCACCTTAAGTTTTACATTCATAAAATAAAATACGTTTCACTTTATTCCCAAGTTGTCAATGCCATTTGAATGTAAAATCTGCTATAAACAAGTGCGGGACGAAAACCGTGCAGTTCATTTCCGTGAACATGAAAAAAAAAGAAGCGAGGAAGAAATAAATATTATACATAGCCGCATCAAGGCTGGGCGTTTGAAGCGAAAGCGAGTGTCTTCTGAAAGTGTTCACCAGTCTGGGGAAGCATCCGTGACAATCACGACGACACCAACGCCAGCAACAAAAACAACAACAACAACAACAGCATTACCAACAAAAAAACCAACAACAATTACATCGGCAGAAATAACAGGGCAATGCATAAGTAGAACAGTAACAGAAGAAACATTATCCGCAGCACCACAAACTGTAAACCAAGAGAATAACGGAATTGATACCTTGCAATCCTTTGACTTTGATGATAGCAATTTTGAGGCTAATGAGAATCAAGAGGAAGGAGGATATGAAGAAGAATTAGTCTATTTGTATTCAGATAGTACAACTTTCACGGTAACAGACCCTAAAAGAAATCGTCTTGGTGTTGACCAAAAGAATCATGAACTTTACA